CCCGCTCCCCGGAGAGCCGATGCGCGCCGGCGGCCGACCCCGCAAGCGCCAGGCCGCGCTGGCCCCTGGCTGGCGAAGGACGGGCACCGGGACCTCTTGTTTCGGTGGCCACGCACCTCGACACAGTGCCTCCGCCGTCCGAGCTGCTGCTCGCCGCCCGCGGTCCCTCGCGCCGGTCTCGTCTCCTGCCCGGACCGGCCGCGCACTTTCCCGTCCTTTGTCTCTTGTCTGCCGGGTGCTGCGGGCTCCTGCGTTTCCTGGCCAGCAGCTCGGCCTCCGGAGCCCTCCAGCCCCTGGTGACACTGCGCTCCTCTTCCTCCTTCCCACCGCAGACTGGGTCCCCTCCTGTGAGCTCCCGCTGGTTTGCCAAGCCAGGCTGTTCCTCCGGCTTAGTCGCCCGCACTTTGTTCCCCTGTGTCGGCTGTGACCACGGACTGTGATGCTGTGTTGCCAGCTCTCCCTGAAGTTTTTCCCTGCACCGTTCAGATTTGCTTGGAGGCCCTGTCCCCGACCCCGGAGCAGTTTCTGTTCACAGACCTGCTGCTGCTGCCCTTGGTCTACCCAGAGCAGTCAGACTTCCCAGTGGGTTCGGAGCTGCACGGCTCAGCACCTTATCTCCCGTTACCTTGGCATCTCCTCATCCCCCGGGGCTTTGCCCACACTGGAAGCTCACTGTTCAAAAAAGAGCTGGGATGTGGAAAGTGCCAGCAAGTGCCTGGCAACGAGGTAGCAGCCCCTCAGCGTGTGGGCAGCGCCAACTTCCAGGGAGCTTTGGATCCCCACCTGTCAGGATCCTGTCTTGTCCACCGCGGGCCGCAGTGTCTCCGCCCAGCAGGGCTCAGGTTTATAGGCAGGGATGCTGCCTGCAGGGGCGAGGCCTCTGGTGGGGCCGGATGCCCACAGGGGTGTCTCCCCTGGTGTAGGGCGCTTGGACCCCCCTCCCCCCGCCTTTGCCTTGTTCAGTCCCAAGACAGCCCAGGGAATGCCCTGCATCTTTCTTGCGGGATCATTCTGAGTGTGGACCTACTTCCGAGTTAGGTGTCTTTACCGAGGGAGATTCTGCTTTGGGGCATGGCGGGTACTGAGGATTTGGCCGGGGGCAGGCAAGTTGGTGGACCTGACCTGGCTGCAGCAAGGCGGTGGGGGATCGCGTGGGAGCCTAGGTGAGGTGGGGATCAGAGAACGCTGCCCTCCTAGGACTGACATCTTTCTCTTCCTTCGGCTGGCAAGGCTTCGGGGTGCTGTGGTGTGTGCTCCCGCTGTGGCCTGTGCCCCATGGGGCCTTTCCCCTCCTCTCGGCCTTCTCGCACACGTGTTTTCTTTATGCTTGGAGGGCCTTAAACTGAAGCTCTCACCTGATTTTAAGGGGCAAAGGTGGAGGTATGGAGAGGGATATGTAGAGAAAAGAGATGCACGACAACTGTTTTATACTGTAGTCTCCCAGAGTTGAATCTTTAATTGAAATGAAGACCTGAAATGAAGACACCGTGAGCCTGAGAAAATCTTGGGAACCTTATCTCTTCTCCCTCTGCCAGCGCAGCGGCATCTCCTCCCTCGGTGTTCTCCTTCCTAGCCTAGAGACTGTTGATTATCTTTGTTTGCCTTCTGCCTTCCTCAGTGGCATAGTTGCCCACGGGCCAGGTGAGGACACTGATGCAGCGAGATTACCAGGCTGCTTATTAGCACTGTCACCTGCACTGCCCGCTTTGTCTGTCACTTGCGGCCCGAGTTGATGTTTAACCAGCCTTCTGGAGAGCTCTGAAACCAGCTTCACTTTTTTCCCCTCTCTCAGCAGACTCAACCACGTTTCCTCTGGCTTTGGGAAGTGGTTAAGGTCATGGGCTTTGGAGCTAGACTAACTTGGACTTGTTTTCTAGCTCTTTCCTGGGCTCTGTGGCCATGGGCCGAGTAGTGAATGGAACCTCCCTCCCCTATGCACTGCTCCCCAAAAGTCCTAACCTCCAGTACCTTAGGCTGTGACTGTGTTTATTTATTTATTTATCTTTTGGTACCAGGAATTGAACTCAGGACCTCACACTTGTCAGGCAAGCACCGTGTGTGACTGTGTTTAGAAATAAGGTCATTTCATGGGGGCTGGGGATATAGCTCAGTGGCATAAGCGCCTGCCTGGCAAGTGCAAGGTCCTGAGTTCGATCCCTGATACCGTTAAAAAAAAAAAAAGGAAAAGAAATAAAGTCATTTCAGGTGCAGTTAAGACAAGGTCATGCTGAAGTAGGGTGGGGCTCTTAATCCAGTATGACCAGCACCCTTAAAGAAGGTGACTCTGGAGGGACACAGGCACTGGGAGAGCATCTTGTAGAGATGGAGGCAGAGACTGGCAATCACGTGCGGCTGTCAGCCAAGGAATGTCAAGGACTGCTGCTGCCATCACCAGAAACTCAGAGAGACAATGGAGTGTGTTCTTCCTTAGCTCTCAGAAGGAACCAGCTCTGCCTGCACGTTGATCTCAGACTTCAGCCCCTAGAAACACAAGAGTCCTGGTGTTTGTAGCTGCTCACTTTGTGGTATGTTGTTTCAGCAGTGCTAAGAAATGAACAGGCAGGAAGTTCCTTGAGTTTTCGGAGCTTCGTTGTCCTGATCCGCAGAATTGGCCCAGAACACCCCACACCATGTGTGTGTTTGTGTGAGTGTGTGTGAGACAGTTACATGAGTAACAGCTTCTGCTTTCTTATTTTAGTCTAGAAAAGCGAGGACAATGCAGCCAGCCTATTCACCCGCTTTGCTTCTTCCTGTAGCTGAGTGAGGAGTTGGACCAGGTGGTTGAGAACCCCCATCAGGCAGACGAGCTGGACAAGGAGTCCATCGAGGTCCAGGGTCTGGGTGCCGGACCAGGTAAGCGGGTTCCGTGCCTGGGGTGTGTGTGCCGTGGCTGCAGCCGGAGGCCCTAGTCCAGATGCCTTGCCAGTCCTGGGAGTGCAGGAGCCCCTCTCCCCGCTGCCCTGGTGTCGGGTCTCAAGTATTGCCCTAGTTCTAAAGCCATACATATTTAACTGGCCCAAGACAGAGGAGGTGGTTATGCCTAGGCTGATGTCTTCGTTTTTGTTGTTGTTTTTGTCTTTTTGAGACAGGGTCTCGCTATGCCATTCAGACTGGTCTTGAACTCACTTTGTAGCCCAGGCTGACCCCAAACTCAAAACATCCTCCTGCCTCAGCCTCCCAAGTACTGGGATTACAGGTATGTGCCACCATGACCGGCTAGGCTGATATCTTCTCCTAAGCTGATCCTCTTGTTTCAGCCAGTTCTGAGGCCAGGTCATGGGACATGGTGGCACATGCTTCTTCCCTCGGAAGCTGCAGGTGTGTGAGCCTCTGTTGTCCCAGGTACCCCCAGGGCCTTCAGGAGATCTCCCAGGCCGCAGTGCTCAGCTCTGCTGCCCAGCGGGGTGGGCAGGGTCCTGTTGTCAGTGGGGTCCTCAAGGCACCCCAGCCGCACTGCGCCCGTCTGGCCCGGCGTGCTGTGTACTCTCCTAGTTGCCGGGAAGCGACTTTCTAGGCCACTTCGTCAGGCCCCACTGCAGCCACCTCCAGCCCTGGGTGTGGAATGTGTGCTTCGGGCCCCAGGTCTCTCCGTCAGTGACCTCACCTAGGTCCGTCCCGCTGCTTCAGTCCCCGTGTGTCCCCCTGGATTCTCACGTTATACGGAAATGCCAGACTCCGTGTCCTGCGTGTTCAGCTGCCCAGACCATGGCTCTGGATCCTTTCCCGCCATCGAGCCTCTCTGTTGTTTTATTTTTCTGCCTGGATTTTCTTTCCTGCTTCACCAGTGAATGCCTCATCATCTTTTAGCTCTCTGCTGGTTATTTTTTCTACAAAGCCTGCTGTGACTTCCATGCCACGCTTCACTTCCCGTCCTCCAGCACGATCTCTGCGCACCTCTCCTTTGCAGCAGTTGCTACTTGAGAGTGTATTTGTTTGTGAGTGAGTGGCTGACTGATGGGCACCTTTTCTGCTGCAGTGAGGCTCCAAGAGGGCAGACGCTGCTTCCTGACACTGCCCTGGCTACTCAGTGAAGGCTCATTGAGTGAGAGAATGAATGAATGAATGGATGGATGGATGGATGGATGGATGGAGACCCAGCCAGGCTTCCGCCTGTTGGGTGGATTGGGGAAGGTCAGGTTCTGGTCCTTTCGCTTCCTGTGTTTGTCAGGGAGAAGAGTAAGACGTGAAATTCTGTCATTCTGCCTGCTGCTTAGAAGGAAGGAAGCTAGAAAGGCAGTAATGTTTCCTGATTCTGTCTGCTGTGCCCGGCTCTGTCATGCCCACTGCCGCATTGTGTTGCCCTCCTTCCCTTCTGCCTGGTCTTGGCCTGTCCTCGTTGTGCCCTGATTCCTTTCCCTTTCTCAGGAAGTCCCTCTTCTACTTTCTTGCCCCCGCCTCATCTTTTTTAGTTTCCATATATGAGAGAAAACATGACATGCTTCATTTCTTTTTGGCTTGTTTCACGGTGTCCTCTGGTTCCACCCGTTTTCCTGTAAAATACACGATTTCATTGTTCCTTACATCTGACGAACCCTCCCTTGTGCACAGATACCGTCTTTACTTTATCTGTGCATCTGTTGGCGCCTCCTAAGCTGATCCCACATTTTCCTGTTAGTAGTGTCGCAGTGAACATGGTGTGCGGACTGCATTTTGTGTGGTGTGCAGATTGCATTTTCTTTGGGTGTACAGCCAGGAATGGGACAGCTGGATCGTACGATAGTTCTATTTTTAGTTTTTTGGGAATCTCCGTACTATTTTCCATAGTGGCTGTACTTACTTACATTCCCACCAACAGTGTACAAGGGTTCATTTTCCCACAACCACAACCTCACCATGTGTGTGTGTGTGTGTGTGTGTGTGTGTGAATAACAGCCGTTCTGACTGGTGAGATGGAGTCCCAATATGGTTTTGATTCTGATGACTACAGATATGTAAAGTTTTTTTAAAAATTTATATTTATTTTGTTAGTATATGTCTGCCGTATGTAATGCTTACATTTGTCACAGGGAGTTGGTCTCAGACGACCAAAGCTCTTAACCATTTTTTTCATGTATCCGTTGGCTGTTTGCACTTCTTTTGAGAGGTGTATACTTAGAACATGTGCCCATATTTTGATTGTATTACTTGTTGTTTGTGTAAAGTTGTTTGAGTTCTTTATATATTCCGGATATGCATCTCTCAGTCCCTACTTCCTTTATGTCTGCTTTGATCATTACTGTGTCTTCCCTTCTGCTGATTTTGAGTTGGGTTCTTGTTTTTCTAAGATCTCAAGGTGCATCATTATATTATTTATTTGAGATCTTTCTTTTTGATGGAAGCACTCATTTCTCTTTTCTAAGGCATTGCCAAACTAATATTTAACTCTACTAAAGTTTTAATGACAGCATAGTTGTTTAGGTGCTTCTAATACAGCTGGCATTTATGCAGCTTGAAGTGACAAACTCAGTAATACTTGCTTTTGCTTACAAGATCTGCCAGAAAACAGTATAAACTATTGTAGGAGTTTTCATCGACATATATGGTACAAGAATATTTTCCTTGAAGAAAGTTTTCATGGCATATAATTAATGGGGAACAATAAAAATGTTATGTAAACAGTCCAATAAATAAAATTTTCCTTTTTAGATTGCATATTGTTTTCTTTAAAATGTCTGCAGGTTCGAGAATAGACCGTGACTTAGTTTTGGACCCTAGTTGTCAGGAGTTCAGATACACATTCAGCCGCAGGTCGGTTTAATCCTCTACATCTGCCTTCCTGCCACTGTTGATCCGTGCTGGTCTTGTGCTTCTGTGTACTTTCATTTGAAGGCCGGGGGTGTGAGGTAGGAGCCATTAAGTTGTCCGGGAATAAATCTCTGGTCGAGGACCGCCTGCTCTTACGAATTCCATGAGGCTGGGTCAGGGTCTGTTCCCCTGTTTCGGCCCAGGAAGTTCTTTACTGATCTCCCTCAGCCTCCCATTAGCCTTCTTCATTGATTTGACAGTGATCTTGTAGCTTGGAACCCTTCCAGACGGATTTGCTGATAAATTTCCAGTTGTACTTCATAAGACTGTTCTTGAGATTTCATTTCAGTCCTTCACGGTCTATAGTGCAGGCGCAGACACTGCAGGGAGAGGCAGTGGCAGGAACCACAGCACCTAGTCGTGAAGGAGTGTGTTCTCCCGCAGGGCGCAGTGGCAGGGTGGCCATGGGAAGCATGGTGTGTCTCTTCTGCTTTGGTGGCAGTGCCCTTCTTCCGTTCCCTGCTTGTCCTGAGCACAGGGTGAAGGGGAGGCTGGTGGGAGCCTCGTGGGCACCTGTCTTGGCTTTGCATTGGCATGCATCCTCACACGGCCAGTCTCAGAGGGCAAGCTCCCAGCCTACCTGGACTCAAGGGTGGCACCCTCCATGCCTGTGTTGCATTGCCTGTCCCCTGCTGTGAGGCGGTCTGGTGGGCCGGCTGGGTCAGTCGGTCTGCAGGACCCAATTGGGTTCTCGCAGGCAGCTACCTGCCCAGGCAGGGCAATGGGTTGTCTGGGGCCCCAGAGATAGGAACATGCAGGGTTCTGACTCCGAGCACAGCCCAAATTCAGCCAGTAGCTGCATTCCCAAGAGGGCTGGTGGCTCAGCATCCTGGGGGTCCTCTGGGAGATGGTGTGGGGTCCTTTTCCAAAGGGAGGTGCTGTGCAGATTGTAGCTTTCTTATCTAAGTGGGCTGCAGCCTATGAGGATTGGAAATGTCCTGCATACCAGCTGGCCAGCACCTGCACTGGCCACTGTGGGTGGATTCTTTCCTTCTTGGCTGTAGAGGGAGGGTCCCTCCTAGGCTGTGGAGCTGAGTGGCAGAGGCTTGTTTTTCTTCTCTGCTTTTGTCCCAGGTCTCTGAGCTGCAGAAAATTCCAGTCTGTGTCCAGTTGACTCCAGGGTTGCCCATGGTCACGCACCTGTGTGCAGCCGTGTGTGTGTACTTTGGCTGTCTGCGGAGGAGGGTCCGCACCGTAAGCATCCTCTGATGGGAGCCTGTGTGCAAAGGGTGGTGGTGTGACTACCCCAGTATCTGAGGCTTCTGGGAGAATATCTCCTTGCATTCTTTTCCTTTTATTTCCGTAGCAAATTACCACAAACCCACTGGCTTACAATGACATTTTATCACCTTCTAGTTCTGCAGGTCACAGGTCTGAAATGGGGGTCAGTGGGCTAAAACTGAATGTCCATGGGCCTGAGTTTGTTTCTGGAGCTCTGCGGGGACAGTCTGTTGTCCTGTCAGCTTGCTAGGGCTTTCTTACATCCCTTGTTTGTGGCCCCTTCCTCTGTCCTCAGCCATCTTCCTTGTGTGCCATCACTGTGAGCCATTCTACCCCATCCCCTGGATCACCCAAGGTGGTCTCTCCTCTCCTCCCTTCCCTCCCCCCATTTTATGGCATACATGACCTAGGTTTGCTGCCACTGCACTGGGATGGATTCTAAAGCACGGAGGTTAAGTAACTTGCTCTAAGCTTATGCATGGTGGCGCCCCCTAGGGGCATACCTGTGGGAAGTCAAGATACTGGGGAGAGAAGGCAGGCGACCAGAGAACCTGTCCCTCCTCCTCTAGTGCCTTCCCTGGCCTCTCTGATGAGGGCCTTTTTCCTTTGTGGCACTTAGCACTGCTGACAATCAGAGATGCTGAAGATGGGCGACCGCAGGTGTGGGGAGGTGCGGGAGCAAGGACCCATACACTGCGGCGGAGCGGAACGTGGTGCAGCTGCCGGCCCGGAAGAGGCTGGCCGCCCCCTAACACAGCCCGGTGCATTACTGCAGCGGACACTGGAGATAAACTGGGTTATGAAGAGAAGCGGTTTATTTTGGCCGATGCTTTTGGAGATTTCAGCCCATGACCAGCGGCCCTGTTGCTTTGGGGCCTGTGGTGAGGGAGCGCAGGGTGGGGCGCATGGTAGAGGGAAAGCAGAAGAGAGGAAAAGGGGTTGGGGTCTCAGCCTCCGCACCTGGGCCTCCAGCTTAAAGTTTCCACCCTCCCAACAGCGCCACCCAGGGGTACAGGGCTTTAATACACTGACCTTGGGGCACGTTTAGATTAAGGCCCCAGCGATGCTGCTCCAAAGTCTGTTCAAGAGAAGCTGTGTCCACACTCAGACGTACACATGAACATGCAGAGCAGCATCATTCGTAAAGCCAAAGGTGGGAATAACCCGAATCCCATCCGCTGATGGTCGGCTAGATAAATTAGTGTATCCACACAATGGAATACTGTTGAGCAGTGCAAAGGGATGAAGACCCTGGTACTTGCTCCCAGCCTGCATGACTCCTGAAAACATGCGGTGTTACGTGAAAGAAGTCAGAGCAAAGGCTGCGCGTGTGATTTTGTGCCTGTGAACTGTCCAGAACAGGCAGCCTGAAGAGACAGGAAGTGGGTTAGTGGTTGCAGACACGAGGGGAAGGAGTGACCACTAACGGCCAGTCTTTTGGGATAGTAAAATTGTTCTGTCATTAGGTAGTGGTGATGGTTGCACGCTCTGTGAATATACTGTGACTATCTGTTTACTTTCAAAAAGATAAATTTTGTGCTGTGTAAATTACAACTTAAACCAAACCCCAACCCACCCCATCTCTAAAAACAAGCCAAACATGTAGGTGAAGCCTTCAGAATACGTCTTAACCCGGTGTTCTCTGCATGGTACAGTTTCACATGGTTATGGCAGACAGCCAGGTCCCTTCCTCTGAGTATAGGTCCCATGGTGCTTTCAGAGACGGAGTTGCCCACCGAAGGCCCCCTCATGGCCTGACTGACAGCGTGGGACAGGTTTGGGCTCATGACACAGTTCTGTCAGGGGTGCTACAAAACACGCAAATTAGAAGGTGTGATCAAAATACACGGTGAATGGTAAAATTTATTAAAGGCATTGCCATTAATTCTTCTCAGAATACTTCCTGTCACTTCAGACACACTTATCCCGTCATTCTTGCTGTTTCCTGAAGCAGTTCTGGAAGTGCTCTTTCCTGAGAGTCTTCATAGGGTCTGATAAAATAGGGTGAGTGCTGCTGCCAGCTGCCATCCCGTGAAAAGGCAGGCTGATACAGACATTACGGTGTGTCCCCGTCCACTTCATTCACTGTGTCTGGCACCGTGCAACTTTTGGCTCTTCCCCGGAGTCAAGTAATTACAAAAGGCAAGTATTTTGAATCATATCAGGACATCCAGGCAACTGTGACAGCGCAAATAAAGAAACTCACAGACGAGGAGGCCCAGAACTGCTTCAGAAATGGCAAGAACAATGGGATGTGTGCTCGAAGGGCAGGGTAGTATTTTCAGGAGAATTAATGACAATGTGTCTTTTACTGTAATATTTTAAAAAGTTTAAATATCTACCATATTTTTCAGACACTTAAGTTTCTTAAGACTTCTTTCTTATGCATTACTTTTGTCTTTTGTGCATTTGCGTAGATAAAAGAATGTATACTTCTAAACCGCATTCATCCAGCTCGTCACACAAAAGCTACTCTTCAGTTGCCTCTCTGCAGAGGATGTGGGACATTTTGTCAAATAGCTAGCAACTCTTTTTTTAAAAGATAAAATGTAGTGGTGTCTAGTTTCAGAACTGCAGTGTTACAGCAAGTGTGGCTGATAAGTAAATGGTTGGACAGCTTTTGTGTATATCACATGCCTATTTGTGGAATGAGAGAAGACCCGTGAGGAAATGAAACTTGGCTTCTTTGAGTGCAGTAGAGGAGGTAGGTGCTTAGCGTTCCCGCAGAAGTAATCTGTCCAAGTGCCTCTGGAGTGCAGTCATCATTAAGTGACGTTTTGTTCACACCCTGGCTTGGTGCTTCTAGAGTCTTCAAGAGCACGTAGAAGAATTTTATCTTCTTCCCTAACCAAAGACATTTCTTTTTTTTTTTTTCCCCCTGGTACCAGGAATCGAACTCACGACCTTGAGCTTGCCAGGCAGGCGCTGTGCCGCTGAGCTAAATCCCCAGCCCCTAACCAAAGACATTTCAAGTCATGTTTTTTTGGCTCATTGCAGGATGGGCACTTGCTCACGACGCCGTTCGTTCATCTTCATTATATTCTTCATTACATTGTTGATGTGATACGTAAGTCACCTTCACAGTGTCTCAGACTTCTGTATCTGTGGAAAGTTACAGCCTTTCAGATCTTTTTATCATCATTAGTGATGACAGTTGTAAAACAAGTGTGCATATGTTGTGTAGGGAAAGGGCCTTGGGCCAGGCCTCAGGACTCTGGGACTCTCATCTGTCTATGCCAGTTACGGCTGTGGGATCTGGATGGCTGCGGACGGAGTTACATACCACATCAAGAGTTCCTTCAGTTTTATCTTGTGCTCATCTTGCCAAACCTAGGAAAATATAGCGCCCTGGCACTGGTCAACGGGTAGGAGGAACTCGTGACGTCGAATGTGCTTTCAGCATCCTGGTTTGAACCATGGAAGCAGGAAGTACCTCCCAAGCAGGGCGAAACAAGAGTCACCATCTTAACTCTTCTTATGTGTACAGTTCAGTGCTATAAATATGTTCCCATTGCTGGGCAACTGTCACCCCCACTATCACTATCACCACCAGAACTCTTCATCTTGCAAAATGGAAGCTATATACTTGGTTCCTTTTCAGTGTCTGCTCTTCTACTTTCTCTCTGTTTATTTCTTAGATCTATGTATTTCTTTCAAGTCCTTTAGTGTGAAGTTCCTGTCTGCTAATTGCTACCTCTGGTTACCTTGGTAGTGGTTGTTTCTTCCTTGACAATGGGTCACGTTGTCCCATTTCTTTGTATGTCTAGTAATTTTTTATTGAACATTGGGCATTGTGGAGTATCTACTATAGAGATTCTGGATTCTGTTACACTCTTGTGAAGAATTTTTGTCCTGGTAGGTAATTAGTATGGCAAGACTCAAGGGCAAACTCCTGTCTGTATTAGCAGCAGCTGAAACCACTCATTTCTCTTGCAATTTTCAGCTGCTGTTTTTTTTTTTTTTTCTTTTGACCTCACTTCCATCCCCACCCCACAAATGACTTGAGCATGTTAATTATTTGGGAATTTGCCTCATCTTTAGCTCCCTCCCTTTTAGGACTTTTCTTCAGCCTTGTGACTGCTCTTACAGCCTGGACTCTGTCATCCTGAACCCTGTCTTTGAGGGGTTGGCATGAGTCCTCAGGCAAAAGGTTACAGATTTACAGATCTTAGCCCATACTTCTCTTCTAAAGGTGGATAATCCTCCAGTTTCCCCCTGCTTTTGGTTGTTCTTTAATCCCTTCAAATAATTTCAAATAGTTGTTGAGATTTTATCATTGCTGTCTATGGCAGGGTGGTCCAGCTGTTAGTGTTGGAGGACAGAGGCCTTTTGGGCTTGTGTTCAGACTCCTCAGTTGCCCTGGTCTTGGATCAGCTGTGCTGTGGAGGAGAGGGTTGTCCTCAGCGAGCCGTGGCTAGGTCACCTCAGGCTGCCGGGTGGCTCACACAGCGGACATGTGCAGGAGGATGATGTCCAGGGTCCAGGTGCCGGCAGCGCTGGCTTCGAGTGAGGGCTCCCTGACTTGCAGGTGGCGCCTTGCTGTGTCCTCACGTGGCCTTTCCTGTGTGCACACATTCTGGGGTCCCTTCCTTTTATGGGGATCAGGGCCCCACCCTTACGGCCTCATTTAACTTTAGCTCCTTACAGGCCTTGTCACACTGGGGCTTCACTGTGGGAATTCAGGGTAAGGCACAGTTTAGTCCACTGTGGAGCCGTCTCAGCTCAGGGTGGTGCAGGCGCAGGTAGGGAGGTAGAGCCGCGCTTCACGGATGACACAAGGGCACATTTAATCAGCTACCATGTGAGGCCAAGGGTCCAAGGTCTGGGAACAGCGTGAAGCCCTGGGGATTCAGTTATGGACAAGCCTGGCTTTGTGCCCGCCCGCACGGAGCTGGTAGCCTGTGGAATAATAACTTAGAGACATTGCTGTGTGATGAAGTAGGGGACTTACAGGTGCCCTGGGGACACTGAGGAAGGGGCACCCACAAAAAACGAGCAGGTCAGGGAGGACTCCCGGGAAAATACTTTCCTAAAGCAAAATGCAGAGGGAGAGCAGGAGGCCGCTGCGGGCAGAGGGCGCGGTGGGCAGGAGCAGCTCAGGGTTGAGTGGGGTGTGCTGGAAGGACAGGAACTCAGGAAGTGGAGCTGGGGACCTGGAGCTGGAGCGAAGGCTGAGAGCGCCCGGGTAGGCTGGGCCCTCACTCGCGGGTTCTCACCGCTTGTCCCTGTGGTGCGTGACTCTGGAGACAGGAGCCTGGGCCTCGGTGTCCTGCCTGGCAGGGAGGATGCAGTGTGGTTTCTGGGGACCCTGTACTACGACCTCGCGGTGGGGCGACCTCCCCTCAGCACCCCTGTTCCCAGCCTCTAGGTCAGACACCTGGGTTTTGTCGTTTCAGGCCTGGACAGCGAGTCAGCATCCAACAGCCTGCGCTTCAGCAAGGCTTGCCTGAAGAACGTCTTTTCGGTCCTGCTCATCTTCATCTACCTGCTGCTCATGGCCGTGGCCGTCTTTCTGGTCTACCAGACCATCACGGACTTCCGTGAGAAGCTCAAGCACCCCGTCATGTCCGTGTCGTATAAGGAGGTGGACCGCTATGATGCGCCAGGTAGTGCTGTGGGCCGGGCTCTCTCTAAGCTGGCAGCGTCCCCCTGCCCGGTGCTGGGTGCTCTGCTTACCTGAGGGCTGCGTCCAGGCCCACAGAGCGTGGGTGCTGAGGACAGGGCAGGGTGGAGTGGGGGCGGATGGGGAGCTTTGCAGGGAAGTTGATCGGAGCTGTGCTTGAAGAGCATGTGTGAGTGGGGACAGCGGGGTTTGTGGGAGGAGGAGGAGGAGCTGAGTGGGGATGTGAGTGGCCGGGGTGAGGCAGGTTCCAGTGGGGAGGGTGTTGGAACCCTGCCTGGAGAGGGGCTGCAGGCCGCAGTGAGCATGTCTCCTGCCCCCGATGGATGTCGGTCCCCGACGGCGTCATCCCAGCCCCAGAATGGACCATGCTCCGGAGCTGTGGGGTTGGCTCTGGTGCTCTGGAGTTATAGGGTAAACAGGCAGCCTGAGCTTTGCAACTCAGGCCCTATCTGCTGGGGTGTGCCCCCGACCTGCCCAGATACCCCTGCACAGGGCAGAGCCAGAGCTGGGGACTCCATTGCCGAGGCTCCCTGACAGCCTGGCCTTCCGTCCTGGTCTGAGCCGCCTCTCCACATGTCTACTTTGGTTGCTCAGGGAGTCCCCTGGCCATGGGCCTCTTGTTCCTGTGAGTGCCACTCCCTCTGCTGTGGGCGTGGCTCTGCATCCCTGCTTCCAGTCGTGAGCAGCTGTGGTTGGGGAGTCGGGACTCAGGGAGCCGGGGCTCAGGGAGCCAGGACTCGGAGCCGGGGCTCAGGGTGTCAGGACTCAGGGAGCCGGGGCTCAGGCAGCTGGGGCGGGTGCCTGGCTGAGCTGGGGCAGGGCTCCAAGCAGAGAAGAGACAGAGGCAGTTCTGGGGGGACCCCCACCCCAGAGGAGGCCAGGCCATCCGCAGGTGGATGACAGGCCGGGGGCAGGCACGGCTGGGCTCCATCACAGAGCCCTGTGGAGGAGTGGGTGTGGGCAGCAGGAGGCTGGATCGCAGCTGGTGACAGTGCTGAGGGGGGCCTGCATCCTCCTCCAGAGTCAGAGGGTACGGGCATGGTTCCCACTCTAAAGCCCTTCCCTTTGTGCTTCTTGGGCATCACCCAGGCATCCTAACAAAGTTACTGGTGGGTGTGAGACGCTTTCAGGGATGTGGCCAGGCACTGTGGCCTCAGACGTTCACCTTTCCCTGTATGTGCCCAGGTATTGCCCTGTACCCTGGGCAGGCCCAGCTGCTCAGCTGTAAGCATTACTACGAGGTCATCCCGCCTCTGACAAGCCCTGGCCAGCCTGGTGACATGGACTGCACCACCCAGAGGATCAACTACACGCACCCCTTCTCCAATCAGACCATGGTAACTTCACCACCTCCCCGCTTTCCCTGAGGGCCCCAGTTCTCCTTCTGAGGGGCCACCTCACTCCTGCGTGCACGGGAGCTGGGAGACACGAGGCTGGGCCTGGTTCCGTGTGAGTGACCGGGGTCCCTGGCAGTGGGATGAACCTCAGACGCCATTGTGATGCAGTGATGCGCGTCCCCTGCCTGGGCACTCGGCAGAATCACAGACACCTTTTGGAACCCTAGATGTCCAGGTGAGAGTCCAGCTGAACCGTCACTGCTGAGCCTGGGGCCCAGGACCCCACATTCTGAGCCGGTTCACCAGTGTAAAGAGGTGCATTGGTGGGGGGCGAGGACTCTTGGCCTCGCTGTCGCTTGCAGGGAAGCCGGGCCGGGACGACGGCAGGATGAGGCTCTGGGTTACCTGGGTGAGCAGCACCCGCACCGGGCCCCGCGACACAGAGGGCTTCACATTTACATTTGAGTGCGTTGTCCCGTCCTCCGGGAGGGATTGAGACGGCTGCATGAGGGCTTTCCAGACTGGGGAAGGGAAGTTTCTCCTCTACGGCAGCAGATAGCCCTGCACAGGGAGCTTGGCCTTGTCTTGATCCCAGGTCATCATTTCTGTGGTGACAAGGAATCCCGCTCAGTCCGCTCCTGCTTGTGTCATTTGCAGAGCGACTTTGGACTGAAGTCACAGACTGGGAGGTGGCTTGTTACCCCGTCTCCCTCCTCCCGCGGCCCTGCCAGGAGCTTTGCAGAAACGCACAGACCGAGCGGCCGCATTGGGCGTCTCGCTGGTCAAACTCCGTGACACTGCAGTGGTTCTCGTTGCTCTCTGGTCTTCCTCTGCTCCCGGTTTAGCCCTTGTTCCCGGGCCCAGGGACGGCCCCTGCCTCTCCAGCCTGCCGGGCCTGTATCTGTCCCCGTACCCTAATGCACTGTTTCCCTGCCGCCCCGTGGGAGGCGATGGCTCACTTCTAGGTTTTTTGCTACCATGGCACGCTCAAGTTGTGTTGGTCAGAGTCTAAGGTAGGCCGCGTTCCTGTACAGACAGTGCCCCGGACACGGTGGCTCCCAGGAGAGAGGCTTCTCAGGTCTCGGACCAGCCTGGGCACAGGGCAGGGTGGTGCCGTGGGCGGGGCGCTGCTCAGGAGGGTCCAGCAGCGGCTTCCCTGTGTCCCTGCCGAACCCTGGGTGAGTCCCGCTCCGTGTGCGCAGCGCTGGCACACCCTCTCCCGGGAGGTGAGAGGTGCAGGGCCAATGGCTCCCTGCCAAGGAAAAGGCCCAGGCCACGTGAGTCACTTTCCCCGCAGTCGGGACCGAGGGCTTGCTGCCATGGCCGGGAAAGCCAGGCTTGAGCCAGTGGAAGGAGCGGATGATGGGAACAGGACCTTTCGCCTTCCCTGTTGCACACTAAAGCAGAGTATCATGGAGAGATTGGAAATAAGTGGACAAATGCAAGAACAGCCTGAAGGGTGGGCGGTGACCTCGATGCAGCCCCGGTGGGGCCCCGGAGCAGAGGGCTCGTTTGTCTGGCTCATGTTGCCGGGAGGCCCCGGCCCGTCCACTGAGGCTTGAGTCACGGTGTGCACAGAGCTGAGGCTGTTACGGATTTTAGGCAAACATAAACCTGTTAGAAACAAGCAGCGCCGTCACCGTGGTGTGGCCTTAGTGCCCTGCCCCTCCTCAGATCTTCAGTAGTAAGCGTGAGAATTTAACACCACGTACAGTAGCCTCCGCATGCGTGTGTGTGTGTGTGTGTGTGTGTGTGTGTGTGTGTGGTACAGAGGTGTATAAAACTGTGAGAACTGCTTTTCCAGTGATCTTAGAGCATTTATAACAGTTGATGTAAAAAAATGGTTTTCTTACAGTAATCCATTGGTTTAGCTTCGTCACGATTAAAAGTCCTAGTAGATCTTTTTGTGGAACTCAACAAGCTAAGGTGCGTTTATAAGAGCTCATGTACAGAAATGACCTGGGCACATCTGGGGGTGGCAGGAGCCCCAGGGAGGGGAGCTGCCTAGTAGTGTCACACTGCGGACAGTAAGCACAGGCGTCACTGGTGCGTGTCGGCGCTGGGACAGGTGCACGCGTGAGGGCTGGGCAGGCAGAGCAGCGCACCTGCAGCTCGGTGTTGCTGAGGAGAAAGGAGTGAGGCACGGCGGCTGCGAAAGCTGTGTCTGTGTGTTGTGCGGGTAGGAGTCAGATTGCTGCCTCACACTGTATACAGTATTGATCTAATTTTGCCTTGCTTTAGCAAGCAGAGCCCAGAAGTCATAAAGAAAAAGACTTACAGATTTTGCTGTATTAAATTTAAAGCTTCCATATAGCAAGCGACATTAGAGACAAAGTTAAAAGAAGTATGGCACATTGGAAGAAAACATTTGCATGTACACCAGACGTGTGAACGTCCTCACTAAATAAAGCCGAGCGTCCCTAGTGCAGGCAGCAAGCGAGCGGGCAGAGGCTGCGTGCGTGGACTCCGTGCTGTGCCCACCACACCCTAGGGCATGGCATGCTCCAGCAGCAGGGTCCGGCTGGGGTCGAGGCTGCGGGGGCAGCGGCCCTGGGCTGCCTGGGGCGAGGTGCTGCACAGCGCTCCCTGCGAGGGAACTCTGGCCTTTGTCTCCCTGCAGAAATCGGCCCTGGTGGTTCAGGGGCCCCGGGAAGTGAAGAAGCGCGAGCTGGTCTTCCTCCAGTTCCGCCTGAACGGGAGCAGCGAGGACTTCAGCGCCATCGACTACCTCCTCTTCTCCTCCTTCCAGGAGTTCCTGCAAAGGTGCCTGTCACAGTGGACGGTGGCCTTGCTGTTTGCTTTTTCTTACTGCCGCCTTGCACATTTGCATGCTGGGAGTGCAGGGGGTGGCAGGGGACCTGTCCTGCAGAGGTCCCCCTGGCCCAGGGACAGACAGCCTGAGCTCGGCCGCGTGGGAGTCTCAGATGCAGAGTCCGGCCAGTCGGGTGGAGCGGCGGCTGCTCCCCGTGCTCTTGGCGCCGTGCTCTCAGACGCTGCCCTGGGGACACGGTGTGCGTCTCTGGTGGTGCTCGTTGCAGCAGGAGCATCTTCTGCTCTGCCTGCTAGGCGCTGCCGAGCCCAGGCTCTGTGCCCAGGCAGCAGGGAGGCCGCTCCCTGCCGCCCCCACGCCCGGCGCTCCTTGTCCTTCCGCCCTGAAACCCGAGCCGCTGTCCTCTTCACCCTCTGTGCCGCCCACGGCCCCTTCCCTGCCCTGCTTGAAGCCCGTCTGCCCTGTTCCCTCCCGAGCTCCCCGGCTCTGCACTTCGCACTGAGGCCCACTCGTGGGTGTCCCCTTGGCAGGGTCCCTGGGAACCTCCTGTGAGAGGCCAGTGGGGGCTGCCGTGGCGCTGCTCCCGCGTAGCTCTCTGTGCAGCCCCTGAGAGCTTTGCGCACACACGCTGACACAGCAAGGGGACGTGGTGCGCAAGTGTAGGGTTCTCCCACCCGGGGCTTGGGGCCCACACTCCTGCCTGAGACAGCCACAGGGAGAGAAGGGAATGGAGCTTGCTGCTTTCGCTGGGGGTGGACAAACAGTCCTGTTGAGGCAGCGGGTCTGGAGAGGGAACGGCAGCATCTGTTACCAGCTGCTGCCATCAGGCCTGCTCATGCGGCCCCTTCTCCCCTCTGCCCCCAAGCCCGGACAAGCCGGGCTTCATGCAGGCCTGCGAGAGCGCCTACTCCAGCTGGAAGTTCTCGGGGGGCTTCCGCACCTGGGTCAAGATGTCGCTGGTGAAGACCAAGGAGGAGGATGGGCGGGAGGCAGTGGAGTTCAGGCAAGAGGTAGGTGGCTCTGGCTTTGCTCAGAACTGCTCAAGCCGGGTTGGGGAAGCTTTGCATAGAAGGGCCCTGGGAGCAGGGTCTACACGGCGAGTAGAGGGGACCCTGGGAGTCTGTGCCTTCCCTGATGGCCACCTGGGCGAGGAGCAGCAATCGCCACGCACTGTGGGAAGGCCAGTCACTTGACTCGCTGTGTCTGATGCCTGGCTGCCGTCCTCGCTGCCCGCAGCGCGGCAGGTGATTATCTACAGGGAAAGGACCGGGGCAGCAGTGCCGTGCGGGGCTGGGTGTATGGTGAGGCACTAGATGCAGGTGGCGAATACTGGCTTGCTTCTTGCATTGCTCTGTTGTTGAATGTCTTCAAATGTATGCAAAATAAGTACAGTAATAGCACGAAGTGCTCTATCACTTGTGCGGTTATAAATGTGTATGTGTGGCTGCATGCTCGGACTTGTTTAGTAACAGGAAGTCAGATCAGAAAGCTTGCAGCCCACTGGCTAGGAGCCAGGAGTCTCCTGGGGTCTCTTGCTGGATCCGTGACACCGGGGAGGGGGGCGTGGGGAGGGTGTGTGGGGGCAGGGATGGAGGTGGGGATCGTCACCTGGGTTTTTGCCCCACACACAGCTCCAAGCACTCACATGAGACCTTCTCACCTGGCCCCACGAAGGCTCTGGGGAAAGAGGCGTTGATGCATTTGCCTTGGAGCCAGGTGCCGCCCGCCTAGCCTGGGTCTCGTGGCTCTACCTGTGCTGTGAACGAAAGGCTGAAAACGCCAGCAACCCTATTCATGCCTTTCAGCACTGTCCGAGCTGGAAGTTGTGAGCTCTTTTGAACAAAATTTGAGTGTTCTTATCTGTGCTTCAGAGTTTGGGATTGTCCCTTAGCCCTCCGTGTGCCACACGAGGCAGACAGTGCCTCCCGTTTCACAGGTGGCAGCGCTGAGGCGCAGGCCACACGGTGGCCCTGTGCTCTGGGCTGGCCAGATCTGTCCTGTCGGCCGCATGGCCGCTTCAGAACTTGAAGCCAGAGCGCACGGTGCGCCTGCTGAGTGCTTGCTGGCTAGGGATGTTTAGCTGTGTGGGTCTCCGGGTTGAGCTTTGAAGGGTGGAAGTACCAGGTCCTAAAGATCACCTACTTTAAGATTTGGCATTTTTATTGCTCTTACTCATGACTCTCATGTGTGGCGTAGCAGTGAGTATGGGTGCCTGATAACAGGTTGCAGTAACAGTCCACACACCTCCTGCACATCCCAGATCCAAGTATTTCCCAGAGAACCGTCGAAACCATGGGCAAGTGTTGGCTTTGGTACCAGCTCAGGATCTTGTGTAAATGAGGATTTCCGGTGCAGGCCCACTCCAAAGACGGTGTCAGGAGCCACAGTCTGGGATCCTCTTCCTGCTTCTCCCTTCCGGGCCAGGCAGGGGAGGGCCCCAGATGTGACTCTCTCCTCTGTGTCTAGACCAGCGTGGTTAACTACAACGACCGGAGGCCGGCCACCGAGAGGAGCGCCCAGCTGTTCTTCGTGGTCTTCGAATGGAAAGACCCTTTCATCCAGAAAGTGCAAGATGTGAGTGTTGTTGGCGATAACGAGGGCCACTTGCCTGTGTGTTACTCCTGCAGGTCGTCTGCTTGCTGTCCTCGTCTTTTCAGAGCATGAAACAGCTTGTAGCTTCTTACTCTGATGTCCCATGTAATTTGTGTGTAGCTGAGCTTGTCTGCATTGCTAGACTTGTCTCTGTGAAGGAGGAAACGTCATCTTGCCCACCGTCATTTACCTGGTATCTAGCAGAGTGCTTAGCACAGAGTAGCTGCTTACTAGGGCTGCTAAACTAAGTAGAAAGCATTACCATCTAGATTACTATTAGAAGTCATTCTTTCTTCATGGTTCTCTGTAGGATAGGTGTTATGTGTGGTAAGCCAGAGCAGAACGGTACAGGTAATTAAAGCATCCATCAGTGCCATGTTCTCAGACGCACAACCTTGAAGGGCAGAGAGTTGGAAAGCTTTGCTAAAGGAACATTACTGGCGCAGGACCCACTGGGCCAGTCCCTAGTAACTGGCATTCCTGTTATCACGGTGTCTTGACAGTCATGGCTTCAGGACCAGCCCAGAGCCTAGACAGGTAAGCTTCAGACCCACCGCGGGCTCCTTTGAGGTGAGCACGTCGCATCGCCGCCCCTTAGCACTGTGAAGGTACAGCCAGCCGAGGGGAACGGGTGGAAGGATGCTGGTCTTCAGCCTCACCTGCGGAATGTGTGCTCCAGGGTTTTAACGCACAGCCGTTAGCGTGAGGGGGCTGCAGCGGGCCAGTAGCCCCGCACCGAAGGCTGCCGCTTGGCCACCGCGTATGCCAGCACTGCACTCCTGCTGTCTCGGGTCCTTCTGCCCAACTGGACTTACAAGTGGTGGAGTCACAAACGCAACACAATCCCTCTGCCTTCAGGAGTACATCTGAGGCAGAAGTCTTGCTTAAGGTTACTAATGCCAGACAGTACCTCGCTGGAAGGAGTGCGCGGGGTAAAGAGCCCTGCTGCCCCCAGGCAGGGTCTCGGCCTGGCGCTTGGAGCGAGCGCGGAGCTTGCGAGTGAAGCGTGCATCAGTCTGGGCAGGAGCAAAGGGAGGAGGGAGGCGCCGTGGGCAGGGGAAGGAGGCGGCGGGAAATGGAGGCAGTGCTGAGATGGGAGGGAAATGAGGAACTCACCTCACGGGCTCGGTACAGTTTCGGGGAAGTTTCCCTCAAAGCAGAGTTGCTTATATTTGGGTCAGGCAAAAACAAAAAACAGCTCAGTAATGAATGTATTTTTGCAGAGATTTAAAAAAAATTTTTTTCTCTTTCAGAATCACTTTTATAGGGAAGGGTTTGTATCTCTGTCCTCGGTCTAGGTGTGGACATGCAAGGCGTAGACTGAATAGTTACGAGGTTCGAAGCCCCGGTGTTTTTCTTGCAGTCACGTGTGTGACTTAGGACTGAAGCAAGCCAGTCACCTAGTCTTTCTCTTTCACAGATCATCACAGCCAACCCTTGGAACACAATCGCTCTGCTTTGTGGGGCCTTCCTGGCATTATTTAAAGCATCGGAGTTTGCCAAGCTGAGTGTGAAGTGGATGATCAAAATAAGGAAGCGATACCTTAAAAGAAGAGGTCAGGCAACAAACCACATAAGCTGAAGCCTGCGTCCTTCACAGACCTGCCCACATCCGCGGAAGTCCTCACCACTTCCACTGCAACCCACAGCGACCAGCAATCCTGTACTCACTTGAAGCCAGGGGCCTCGCAGGGAGGAGCAGCCTGGCGAACTGGAACTTCCAACCTGGCCCGGAAAGGGGAGAGACCCCATGCATAACCTGGAAGCTATTTAAGTATTTAAATTATTGACGAACATTTTATAGAGTTGCCTTGCCTTGTCTAGGTTTGTGGAAGATGCTTTTCTTCCTGTTTGGTTCACTGTGTAGTTAAGCTCCAGCAGGATAATTAAGGCTTTTTCCTTTTCTTAGGTTTTTTTTTTTTTTTTTTCTTTTAATGGTTTTTCAAGTGAAGGCAGTGTGATTTTTTTTTCTCAAAAGATCAGCAAGATGTGTGGGGCCTGCTTTGGAACCTTGCACCATACACAAAGGAGGGCAAACCTGTGACTGAATTTGCCATCTGCTGTCCAGGCACTGACAGCCTTTCTCATTTGCTAACGAGACTTTCAAACTACTAGGAACCAGGGATTACATTTCTTACGGACTAACTAGCCTCCTGTTTCTCCAGCTGGAATCTGTGTTGGCACAGGTGAGTTTAGTGATAAATAGTCAAAAGCACTAGGAGAGATGTAGACCGTAGGTGCTCAGCCAGTGTATCTTGATGATTTCATTAACGGATCAATAAAGGCTGGGTCAGTACAAAAGGAACCAGTGTGCAGAGATGAGGACCTGCTGTCGGCAGGCAGCAGTGCTTTCACTGGGAGCTCCACACACGCACAGCAGGAACCCGGACGCCTGCACTCACGACCCTGCGCTGCGCTTTGGCAGCCCCTCCCAGGGAAGGGGGGTTGGGCATGGTGACAAATGGCAGGTGGCCAGGAAGAGGGACAGGCCACACCCCATCACTAATCTGGTTGTATGGCACCGTGTCCTGCAACACTGTCAGAAAGGGCCACCTGGTGACCCGTGACCCTCAGAGCTGTCGTCTGCCTTCGGCAGTGTTATAAACTAAGTATTGTGCATGTCGGCTGCTGGAGGGCTATGTAAACTGCTGGAGTTTTAAATCAGTGGGTACATAGGGGTTTTTTTTTTTTTTTTTTTGGCTGAATTACTAAAAGTGAACATGTAGGAAGAAGTATTACCTGCTACTTTTCTCTCCAGAGAAGCACAAGCAGATTTTAGCCTGGTCTCTTTGTAAAACCTGACTGTAGGGAAAATGCAAAGCCAAACATGAAAGTGTACATTAGGCTGGGTGTATTACATACGGGTAACCCCAGCACTCTGGGAGGCTGAGGCAGGAGGATCGAAATCTTGGGCAATTTAGTGAGACCCTGTATCAAAACTTAAATCGCGGAACAGAAAGAGCTGGGGATGTAGCTCAGTGAGAAGGCTCTGGATTCAATCCCAGTGTTCCCATTAACACCGGAAAGACATACTGTTTTTAAAGCATCTTTTGGGGCTAGGGGTGGTGTTCAGTGGCACAGTGCATGCATGATAGGTGTGAGGCCCTGGCTTTGAGCCCCAGCACAAAAATACCTGTCCTAAACCTCCCAAATCACATTACTGTTAAATACTGCTGTAACATGATTTGCTTTGATAAAAGTACTGTTGTGGAAAATGAGAGACAAATTGTACCTTAGGTATGAGTGATAATTAAGAAGGGGGTATTTTTATCTATTCAGAGAAAAAACATTTAACAGTTACTAGCTGCTACTTGTCAAAATCCATTCTGGCTGCTCTCCTGTAGAGTCGCCCTCACTGTCTACCAACTCCTAACCTAACCTACGAAGGCCCATGCACGCCCTGGGGCCTATGGCGTTCTCCCGTAGTGCAGCCACTGTCCACAGGGCTGGCTGCCGGCGCGATGTGGGGGCCTGGAAAGAAGCCACGTGTGGCCAGAAGGTGGCTCCGCTGCACCTGCTAGCTGAGTGTAGGTAAAAGCCGTGTGTGTCTTCTGGGGCCACAGAGAGCAGAGGGGCTGCTTTCACAACGCCCGGGTGTGGCGCAGGCCCTCGATGGCGCTTTCACTGTGGAAAAGCAGCGGCTGAAAACGTTACATTAATACCTCACCCCTGCCTGTCACAAAAGTGACCCTGAGAGACGCGAAGGGAGATGGAAGGACATCCTGGAACTTGGGAATTCTATGAAAATATTCTGTAAAACATTCTTTGTTAAGTGGCTGGAATACTAACCCATACACAGAACATTCCCATCTTTGGTTAGAATGCATCCCACCATTTGTCTTAGTTTGCTATAAATCCTCTGTGCACGTGTGAGGAGGGGGAGCCGGCTTCTGGACGTGTACCCTTAGAGCTGAGAAAAGCAAAGATGACGTAAGGCGAAGTACAAACATAGACTTTATTAAACGCTGCTCAATCCCCCAGTGAAGATCTTCCATTACAAAACAGTTTCCACACAACTGCAAGTTAAAGAGATTGGAATGGTACTCTGATAAGAAAAGACGTGAGAAACACCTGACCAGGTACGAACATACAAGACCTCTATGGAGTCAAGTTCCAGTGCTCTACGGTGGAAGCCTATGCGTTTCCTGTAAATAGAGCCAGGCAGTGACAGCCAGCACTGTGCAGCAGCACTCGTGGGACTCGAGGCCTCCACCCCGGGTGCGGAGGGGCGGGCGGCGCTGCCAGGGGCTGGAAAGGCCCTGCCTCCAGCCTCTGGGAGGAGAGGAATGGACGAGGGGCAGCCGTCGCCCTGGGGCACTGCAGGGGAAGGGGTGTTGGTGAGGACCACTCGGAGTTTTGGTTTACTTTCCCAGCTTTTATTCGTATTTTGTGCTTTAAAAGCCTGGGCAGTGAAGGTTTTACTCAAATTCCAGAAGACAGTGATACCTTCTGATAGGGCGGGCTCGGCAGGAATCCCACCAACGTGTTTCTGGGAGAGACGAAGGGAAGGGGAGGATGGTACCTTAGTTTATTTTAGGAAACACTCTTTGTCCTAGGATGTAACTAAGGTCTGCAGCAATGTGAAAAGCACATTATAGAAGGAAAAGTATACAGAGCAGACTACTTGATCTGTGTGCAACACAATCAAAAAAGAATTCAAGTCTTAATTCTTACCACTCCCATAATTATCTCACTCGTAGATGATAAAATTCATTTCTGTGAAACTTCAGAAGTGACACAATACATCAATGATTAGACAAAAGGTTACAATATACTGTGGCCATGATATAGCACAGGGCTGTTTAGTCCATATATGTTTTCATTTACAGTTGCCAGAAAAGATTGGCCTTTTAATTATATTATACTGATGAGGTTTGCTTTGCAGTTTTTCTGTATTTAAAACATGTACAAAACAGTGCCGCCCTGCAGAGGTGCAGGCCCGCTTCTACTCGGCGCTGGCGCTGCTGAGGAGGCTGCGCATGTTGTAAGCACTGTTCTGCTTTTCTAGGGCTTTCTTTAGCTTTAGCTCCTCTAATTTTTTCCACAATTCTTCACGTTCCAATTCCTTCTTTTTCTCTCTGTAGAAAACCAAAATTTTGTCATTACAAACTATCATTATTACTATTTTTGCAGTACCAGGGATCGAACTCACGACCTTGCGCTTGCCAGGCAGGCGCTTTTTGCCGCTGAGCTAAATCCCCAGCCCCTCATTAGAAATTATTAAAGAAATTATTTCAGAAGCAAAGGAAAGGTGCTGTCTGGCAATCAGCACGGAATACACCAATGACCCTCTTCACATAAATCCCTCCGCAGCACTGGAGCAGCTGCGGTGTTTCCGTCACGGTCCTAAATGCAGTCAGTGTCCTTTGTACCCGATGAACGTGACCTCCTGTTCCTTCCCCAAGGACCTCACAGCTGTGCTTTGTTGTGGACAAGGGACTTTGTGTTAATTTCTCACATCAGCTTCCTGCAGTGGCCTGACCGCGGTACAGTCAGGAAGGCCAGAGTGCTGGCCCCTGGGGAAGCCAGAGCCACCCCCGCCGCAGGATTCGCCTCCTGCCCATCCCTCCAGCCACTGCCCTGTTTACATCTTCTTCTCTCCTCCTGTCTCTTAGGTACACCAAATGAAAATCAAAACATTTTGTATGTCGCATCAACTACTTAATTTCAATTCTATGGAAAACATTTCTGAGTAACTCAGACCAGACTATTCCCAAGGCTAATGAACATATAAAACATGGGCTTATACTTGTGTGGTTACAGTTTAAAACAATAAATCTTGTTAAAGGATTTGCTGATATACACAGATAACATGACATAATGGTTATATGAAAGACACATTTTCAGATGTAAGTTTCTTTTTTTTTTTTTTTTTTTTTTCTGGGAATCAAACTCAGGACCTTGTGCTTGCCAGGCAGGCGCTTGTGCCACTGAGCTAGATCCCTGGCCCCTCAGATATAAGTTTCATATGATCCTAATCTTTCTTCTTGTTGCTTCCTAAAACTCAGTGCCTAGTTTCTATTCCTGCCTGCTACTTATGAGAAATAAGGCAGGGAGTCAGTTATTGATGGGCTAGGATGACCTTGAAGAAAGGCCAGCTCCTTTCTCTCTATGACACAAGAAAATTATGAGTAGGGACTAATAGTAAAAAATAGACCAGCTTTTCTAAACAGAACAGTAATACTCTTATTAAAGTACATGTTAGTTATCTTTAAATAGTAGATGGATTCAGGACCAGTGGTTACTGCCCATCTTACGTTTTAAATAAATATATGAGAAGGAAATATAAATATATGAGAAGGAAAAGGTTTTTAGAAGATTATTTTATAGTAATCTATGAACTTCTCAAAGCGGTAATCACAGCCATGTTCCTAAAAGTTGATGTGGACTATCATTTACCTTAAAATGTGTACTACGTGAGGAACTACGTTATCGCTAGCACCTGAACCAGAGCACATCAATTTCTGTTCCCAAAGGAGAATTGTGCCGACCTTAAAATACCACTTTCTGGTAACTGTGGCGTTAGGTCGGAACAGGTGAAGCATCTTGTGGGTAAGTGATGCTAGTAATATAAGAAATCAAACTGTATAAACACAAATTCAACACAAACTGTATAAACACAATTCAACACAAACCATTTCATGATGCAGATGCTACCAGACGGTTGAAATGTAAGGCTCAGGATGAGATGAACAGGACATATGATTGCATTAAAATCGTTATCTAACCATTAGGAGAGGTAAATTATGTAATAACTTTAATACATGTTACTGCTTTTTCTGCTCAATAAAAACACTCCGGCTAGCTTACCTGGAAATGACTTAAGTGTTTAGCGACTTTCAAGCTATGCCTAAACATGGTAACTCAGAGAAGGTACCTTTCTAAACTGAATCACATTCAACTAACCAAAAATGTCCGATATCTGTAATTTACACTATCAGATACCTTTGTCTCTCAGCCTTGTAGGAGCTAGTAAGGTCATCAAACAGCTTGCCATTCATTTCCATGAGGGTCTTCAGCACATTGTACACCAGTGCTACAATGGTCCTGAAACGAAAATGAGCCAGTCCTGGGTTACAGACGCCAGTAGAGTGGAAATGTTACACTGTTGTCTACAAGATGTGTTACATGCTGACTACTCATTTAATTCATTTTAGAGATAAAACTGATGTTTAAAAGGTTTGTAATGTGCTCAGAGGCATGTAGCCAGTAGTGACAGAGATGGTCTGATTCCAGAGTTTACATCCTCGGATTATGCTCAGATTAAATTCTAGCTAAAAATGTGGTATCTCCATCTCTGTGCTAGAGTCTCGTATCTGAAACCCTAACATTAAAAAAAGATAAAAATTATCCAACTATCATTACTTGAGAGAAGAAAAGTAGAAAGTAAGACAAGATGTTCTATAGAGAGAATCTTTATTCTACATAGCACCATGGACAGTAAACACTCTTCTTAGCGGGACACCGCCACCTACAGAGGTGAGACTGTGCCCTGGGCGTGGGCCGGCACCTTCCGCAGCTGGTCCTGGCTGTGGGCAGCAGGGCCTGACCACCCCAGGTGCGTAAGGTTATGCCAAGTCACCTCCCTTCAGGGAGGTCTCCAATATTCAACGAATTTAAGATCATACATACATGCACAACTTTAAAGCTGTGTATATATATGATACAGAACGAAGTCTGTGATGTTAACCTTTGGTAGAAGTTCCAAATCTGTATAGGTTTTATATAAGGAAATCAAATGACAAAAGGGTTAAAAAGAATACAGGAAAAACATGAACAACATTATAATACTTACTGGTTCCAGTGTTCTTTGGAAATTTTGTACAAACTGGCAAACATTATTGGCAGTATTTTATCAATGTTCTCCTCGATCAAACTAAGAATATACTCGTTATTCCAGAAGTACAATGCTCTTTCTGCAACCTAAAAGACATTCAGGAATGTCAAAATTCAAAGTGAAAAGAAATTATACAATAAGGATGATGTTGTTAAAAACACCCTACCTGAAAATGAGAGCTGGAGACACATCTGGATATCTGCTTAAAAAGTGGTTCTTCAATTTTTTTGAACTGTGTCGGCTCAATGACATCTAAAATTTCTTCAATTTCTCCTAAAAACATCACCTAGGATAAAAAAGTTTTTCTTTTAAAAAATAATGTGACACATTGCATTATTTAATATAGAAACCATACAAATGAGGTGAATATATAACTCCAAAGTTGAGTAGAAAAAGAAGGTCTGGCTGGTTTACAGTTGGCTGTAACCAGCACGGCTGTTCTATCGGGTCTCCTATGGTGTCCCCCACTCTGCGGCAGCAGGGAACAACCCCGGGGTCTGCAGACCCCGGCTGAGGCGTGCTGAACTGTGCGCTGCTGTAGTCACAAAACCCACCTCCTTCTGACTGCATGTTTTTGGCCAGAATTTCAGCAGTCCTCTGATCACCTGCAAGAAAGGAAAACGAGTGAAACACGGAGACTAACCCCAGGGCAGCTTTGGTAGTTGTGAGTCACTGTTCATTCTGAGTAGATCAGCATTAGCATCTAACAATTTAAGATACTTACTGAGCGCCTAGTGACCACCAGATGCTGCTGACATGAGGAGAGAGTCTATGATTTGGTGGCGCTTGTGTTCTAATGAAAGGAGGCCAGCGTACGTGATGGATTATGTAATGAAATGATTTAATAGTAGTAAGTGTTACTAAGAAAACAAGGAAAGCTGAGAACTTGCTGGGGTCAGTGAGGGAGGTTTTTTAGGGAGTAACTTTACAAACAGATAATTCCCGTTACGTAAGCCACTATGAAGCAGCTGGGCATGGTGTACATGCCTGTAATCCCAGTGCTCTGCGAGGCTGGGGCAGAGGGATTGCAGGGTGGAGAGCCCAGCACGGGCAATTTAGCAAGACCTCAAGATAAACAAGGGATGGGGATGTGCCTCAGTGCCAAAGCCCTGAGTTCAGTTCCTTGTGCAAAGAAAAGCAGCCAATTTCATGGCTAAGCACAATCTAGATAACTGAAATAAAACACAAGGGACCATGTATTTCAGTGAATACAGATGCAAAAAAATAAACTGAGCCCCAAGAGTATACTGAACAAGTATACAGAACAAGGCTAATTATAGTATAATTTATTCTAGAATACCAGGATGGTTCAGCTCTATAGGTTAAAAGGATACGCAAAACTCCATACTTTTAAAAAATAAGTTTGAATAGTTATTTGGTGTTTCTGATAAAAATTTAGTAGGTAAAACAGAGAATTTATTAGAAACCATCCACAACCCTTTTACGTAATGGTTTCTTAGAAATGAGCTATAAAACCATCTTGGTGCGCTGGTGCTGCGGGAGGAGAGCTTTGCCAGCTTCTCTGGTTACTCAACAGTGGGCCCGGCCCAGTAGTGAGGAGCCCTCATTCAAATGAAAGCTTGGAAGAACACTGTTTTGGAGCCATAGAAACAGAAAAATGTGGTGAATAATACTGGCAAGGAATATCAAAATCACACTTACTTGCTAGTTATATAATATTTATACATGTCCTAAAATTTAAAAACCTAAAGATTACTAAAATAAGAAAATTCAATATATGACCAGATAAAATGTCAATACCTTTATTATCAGTAATAATGAAGTGAAAAAAGATACTTTTCGTAACAGTTATACAATTATTATTTCTGCTGTACTTAATCTGTACATTATTTTATACACAAACACACAGAGACACACGTATTTGTTTTTTGAGACAGGATCTCACTCTGCAGTTTGGGCTGGTCTTGAACTCACTCTGTAGCCCAGGTAGGCCTTGAACTTGCTGCAATCCTCCTGCCTCAGCCTCCAGAGTGCTGGGATTACAGGTGTGTGCCACCACACCTGGCCCTATACATTTAATATAATTTCAATCAAATGCCAATTGAATTATCTTTGGAACTAGAAACATTCATTCTACAGTTCATAAATACAAACAATAGTCAAGAGTTTATGGGGGTGATTAATGGAATAAAACCTGCACTATTGTTATTAGCAATTAAAACAAGATGGTGTTAGCACAGAAACTGACAGAAAAGATCTGTGTGTATATGGATTGTAATACACGACAAAAGTGGATGGAACTGAGTATGTCCCAAAGGATTCTGCTAACACCTTGATTTTGATTTTCTGGCCTCCGGAGCTGAGAGAGAATACATTTGTGCTGATTTAACCCACTAGGTTTGTGTTAATTCCCTACGGCAGTCCTCAAGAAACAACAGCTAAAGACGTGAAAGCAGAAGGTAAGCCTAGAATATAGAACTAGAAAACAGTGAGAAAATGTAACTAGAAAAATAACTGGAGTGTATATTTTAGAAAACTGTATATACTGGAGAATATTTTTTTAATTTCAAGAGGTAGAAAGATTTTCCTTAGCAGGACATCAAGAAAGACTTAGGATGTAAAATTTTATATAGCTCTTTAAAGCACAGATTAAAAACAGTATATTCAGAATTAAAAGATAAACTCCAACTGAACAGAGAAAATTTTTTGCGAAACACAACAGAAAAAGGGTTAAAAGTAAAAGCCGGAAATATAAATGAGCAATGAAATATACTAAAAAGATGGCTCAATCCTTATACTATTTCACAGGTATGAGACTAAACAAACATTTTTTAAACTTAGTTGTTTTTGTTTGTTTTCAATTTTGAGAGCAGCCCTTGTTCAGTCAATAGGTGGCCCAGGCTTGGACTCTAATTTGTGAGCCCCCTGCCTCAGGCTCTCAGAGTTCTGGGATACAGGCATGCGCCATCACACCTAGTTAAGAGTTGAAAACTTAACATTCAGCACTGATTGGCTAGAAAAAACAGGTACTTTACATTCTGGAGTAAAATATTAATTTGCAAATATTAATTATATAGCCTTTCTGGAATGCAAGTTGGAATTTGTTAAAATCACATGTACTTAGCAACACAGCTTTTACTTTTTAGTTTTTGGATGTTCACACACTAACCCCTTTCCTTTCTAGGTGTGTACTTCTGACGGCTTCTGAACATGCTTAGTGGTTTTTATTGTTCCCAACACCACAGGAGATGGAACAGTTCTTAACACCACAAAACATTTTTTCACTCAGCAACCTATTTGTAACAGTAAAAAAGTCCTATAACTCAGTGTCTGCCAAGAAGGGGTTAATAAATGGTAACCCATATAATGGAATTTTACGCTGCCAGTGGGAAGTGAAATAGATTAATATGGAAAGATGTCTACATTATACTGAGGTGAAAAATACTGTCTTACTGTTTATTTTTATTTTAAAGAGAAAAAAACCATAAAGACAATGATAGAGAATTTCAAAACAAGGTAATAGGAGATTAACTATGGTTAATATATTGCATATTTTTATCTTCAAAGTAGTTGCTGAGATTACAAGATGCAGGCATGTATAAGTGATCAAACAATATAAGTACACACTTTTTTCAATGAACTAAAAGAAATCAGTAGTATATCTTATTTTTTGTATGTATATTCTTTTCTCCTTTCATCCATCCCTACTGTTCTTTCCTTTTGAGCAGTTTCTTTTCCTTTTATAATTGTAGATTTTGGATCTTATTTATTTTTTCAGTTTCTTACACTAGGGAGATAATATGATGTTTATACATGCAAGTTTGATTTATTTCACTTATGAGCATGATTGCATCCATTTACCTATAAAAGCCTCTAGTTTATCCTTCTTTATAGCAGTGTAGTACTCCATTATATAAAAATACCACATCTTTTTTATCCATTCCTCAGTTGATGGGCATTTGGATTATTTCCAGGATTTAGCTATGACAAATTGTGCTGCTATAAACATGGGTGCACATATATTGCTGTGGTATGATATTTTCAATTCTTCTGGAAAAATACCCAGGAGGGGAATAGCTGGGTTGAATGTGACTTCTAATCCTAGTTTTTTGAAGAATCTCCACACTGATTTCCACAGTGGTTGCACCAGTCTACACTCCCACCAACAGCAGAGAAGGGTTCCTTTTTCCCTATAGCCCTGCCAGCATTTGTTATTGGTTGATTTTTTGATGACAGCCATTCTTTCTGGGGTGAGGTAGAATCTTAGCACTATTTTAATTTGCATTTCTCAAATGACCAATGATGTTGAACATTTTTGCATATATTTATTTGCCATTTGTATTTCTTTATCTGAGAAGTGTGTATTCACCTCAGATGCCCATTTTTGAATTGGGTCTTTGAATCTGGAGGGCCTGGTTTTTTTCAATTCTTTATATGTTCTAGATAGAAGTCCTTTGTCTGATGGACTAGGGAGTTAAGTTAATGAATATACTCCTAAAATTTTTTCCACTCTCTGTATTTTCTTTGCACTCTGTGTCTTAAGTGTTTATATATAAATATATGTGTGAAAAAATTTCTAGGAGTATATTCATTAACTTATGTGTTTAGCTCTAGAAGGCAAGATTTCTGAGAACTTTCACATTGTGCTTTATCTTTTTGTAATGTATGAACCAACTTAACACACAACTGCTTTTACAAATAGAAATAGCAAAGTCATTTTTATTTTTAGAAAAAACAGTCATTTTAATACAAGATTTAGATACAGAGGAACATAATAAAACAACAAAAGCTCTAACTTACTTGTAATGTCAGAGGCTTTGCTTCTCAACTTATGATGGGGTTGTGTCCCAGCAAGCCCATTTTTAAGTTGGAAATGTATTAAGCCAAGAATGCATGGAATAGGGGCTGGGGATATAGCTCAGGGGCACAAGTGCCTGCCTGGCAAACGCAAGGTTGTGAGTTCGATTTCTGGTACCAAAAAAGAAAAAAAAAAAAAGCATGGAATACACTTAACCCGCTGCACATCCCGGCTTAGCCCAGGGCACTGAGCAGTGGGCATCTGCCTTGTGCTTGTGCTCATGCGCCTGATGGGTGCGGATCACTGTCCACTGCAGAGTGCTGCACTGCACGCAGCCGGCTTTGAAAAAGGACCACAATTCAAAATATGATGTGTGGTTTCTACCCGATCCACACTGCTTTTACCCCTAATGTAAAGTCGGGAAATCAGTAAGTCGTACTGCCCAAGTCAGGGACGGTCTGTATCAAGGCTCAAACCCACGTAATAAGGTCATATGGTGATGGAATACTTCAAGGCAGAAATTGCAAAATCTGTTCACATCTCTGTGAACTGAAACCCGTCTTCTTCAACTATATTTGTTACTACTTAGCAGACACGAACCATGGCATGTTACAATGTGATTTTCTCAAGTCTAAGAGGCACTATCATGGACTTTTATTAAGTGTTAACCTCCTCTAGAGGGTTTATATATTTTCATGTGTAGATACTGAGCTTCTGTTTTTCCTAATTTAACTTTAAAAACTGTTTTCAGAAAGAACTATGACTCTAAAAGTTAAAAAAAAAAAAAACACCAAAACTTTAGGAAGTGGGAAAATATCTTTGTTCCTTTATAAAAAGCTCACATGAAAAGGAAATACTAAGTATATCATCTTCTGAAGCATCCCTAGGGATAGTCTTCCTCACCTTTTCTTCAATCATTGATTTTTACAGTCACTAAATTGTAGTTTTACTCTCTTAAATTTTCATTTCATGGGCAAATAATAAGCAACAGAATTCAAAGTCTAAACTGCTATGCTGACTCATAAAGCAGACAGCCTTTATTATAAGACTGTCTTAATCCCAAGAGGCAAGGCAATGTTTTTAGCCCTATCGTGGTTTATCATTAGTAAGAGTTGAAGTGCTATTTCTGAGAGTGAAACAAAAGCTTACGGGAGTAAGTCCGGGACGCTCACAGTACACTTTAATTCTAAAAGGTGAATGAAAAAGAAAAAGGCTGCCAGTGAACATGCGCACAGAACTTCACGCGGTCATTAGATCCAATCGTCACCCTTCTCAACCACTATCTACTACTATTCTTTACGTAGGTTATTCACGACATACCCAGACTCGTGAGACTTCTTCCCTCCCAGCTCTGTTCTTTGAATGTGGATTAACCTCACAAAGCCATGCTATTACTACTGTTTGGTAACTCTGTAAGATTATACAGAAAGCTGCCGAGAAATGCTACTAGTGTGTTACTAATCCAGACACACAGTGTGAATATTAACAGAATACTTACTGGTTCTGTCAGTGTTGTATCTTTCTCCAGGAACTGTACAACACAGTACGCTAGCTAAAAGGTAAGGAAAAGTTTATAAATACTAAATATTATTGAGTGAAATAAAGACTTAAAGATGCAAGGCTTTTTAAATATTTAACCAACAAAAAGACTATGCTGACAAATTTTAGTTTAGTTCAGTCTATAAAATGAGTAAACTCACAACTGTGTAATTTGTTAATCCTGAAGGTAACTTCTAATTTTAAAAAATTGTTCTTTGTTTAGTCTTTCAGGGGGTGGTGCTGGGGATTGATTCCAGGGCCTGCACACTGAGCTACATCCCTAGCCCTTTGTTAATTTTGACAAGGGCCCTCACCGAGTTGCTACGTTGCCTAGGCTGGGCTTGAACTTGCAATTCTCCTGGCTCCACCTCCCAGAGTGCTGGCTTTACAAGTGTGGTAGTATCTCAGACTGTAAAGTCGTTAGCATGTTTCTACATGTATGCCTGTGTTGATCTATTGTTCTCTAAATACTAATAGAGGTGATCAGAAACTTTCCAATTAGGATGTTCATGGATAGAAGTAATACTCTGCAGATGTAGGAGATTTATTCAAAGTCACATAGCAGATTAGTCAGGGCCTGGATCAAGTTTGTTTAAACTTGGTATTATCTTTTCTGTATCTACATTTAAAGTGCCTTGGTCTTACTTAATAGGTAAATATCATTAATATTTACACCTCCACATAAAATTTGTTTTGGGCAACTCAGAAAGCAAACTACTTAATCATAATATTGTCATCTCAATATTTTTCGATTTCTCTGCCTTTATATTGTTCAGTTCCTTTGACATTTTTGTGACACTTACCTGAGCATGAAACAAAGCTAATCCTTTCGCAGTATGCATAGGAATAAGAACCTTCATTAGAAACTGTTTATGTTCTGCTTTCAGTGGCAATGCAAAGCCATTGATAATACTGGAGGAAAAAAAAGGCAGGGGGAAGGGTTAAGTGGTTACCGCTTTGTTTCTAAACCCTAATATTTATCCACCAGTACATAAGGAACACTGCTCCGCATCAGTCAGTCCTGGGATGCATGACCGTTGATCTTCAGACTACGTTAGAGAGACTATTACTATACACCACTAGTTCCTGTAAATCATTCAGTGCTCTCAGGAGACAGTTAGGACTGCCAACTAATGCCAAGGAACATAATTTGTTGTATTTTCTAGAAAGACTGTGCACTGCTGCCTTTATTTTTCTTCCTAAAGCTACAGGACAGTCAAAGTCACCAGACTGACAGGATTTTCATTATTTTCTGAAGTAAATGGGTTATTTCTCTTACTCTGCTGGATAATCTGAAATTAAGAAGTAGTTCTTACCACAATAATTTTCTAAATATTAATAAAGTAGATTAAAATAATTCTCTGGGCAGTAACAGAGGGTCTGAAATTCTCTGAAGTTAACGCTGCTATGCAGTGAGTAAGAAAAGCAAACTAAAACAAAGTGGAGATTCTTCTAGAAAGAACTGATGGGTTAGGAATGGTCTGTCAGCATCTGAACGTGGATCCCTGTAACTGCAGCAAGGACTCACTAGCTTATTTCATCTCTTCTGAGTCAGAACCTACAAGTTCCTGTGGCACTCTAGAGAGGTCAGGCGTAATACACGACACAGCTCCAAAGCAGGAGGCCTGCTCTGACAGAGATCCGGGTTGGCGAGACACTGATATGCCGACTCCCAAAAACCTATAATAGGAACTCATTTGGGACCCCAGGCCTGTGTTCTAATTTATTTGTTTATTGTGTGTAGAGGACTGAGCCCAGGGCCTCTTACATTATTTTTATACTTAAAATTCTAAAAGAGGAAATAATTTCTTCAATCTGCTCTAACATTTTAGTACATAAGAAACATTCAAAGTTAATCTTTAAAAAGACCAGAAATCTGACTTACCTTCCTAGAATTTCAAGGAGTTCAGCAACACCATTGAAATGTTCTGTTTCATATATAAACCTGAATTTAAAATAAAGGTAGGTATAATAAAATCAAACATAAGAAAACTAAGAAACAGACAGGAAGATGAAGAAATCAACCCAAAGGCAGCAGTAGAAAATACATAGGCTCGTTTCAGGTTTTTTCAGTTACTTTGTCCTAAATCAGTTAATTCATAGGAATCTTAACAAAAATATGTATTTCCTACATAATCACATATGCCATCTTTGCTAAAATTTGCCATGTGTGAATTTAACACTCTCATTTTTCCCAGGGATGGAGATATCTATATATCTATATTCATAATATATATCCATATATAAGAGTTATATATAACTATTACATATATATATGTGTGTGTATATATATATATAATTTATCAAATAAATGCTTTTCAAAGTAGCAAACCTTTTCTGACAGGAGAACCCATGGATCATCTCAGCCGCCTTTGCTCAGAACTGCTCTAAACCTCACAACTTAGGCTGCCCAGCTCTCCAACACTAGGACCCTCTTTAACAACAGGACAAGGCTGGTGGCCCACATGGCTGAGGCAGGCTGAGGAGAAGACAGCAGAGAACTACAGAAAGAGGCAGCCAGTGCTCCCCTCTCACGGCTGCAATGTAGAAATGCCAGCCTAGTTTCGCCAGGGCTTCAGTTAATTCAGACAAAATTAAAATACAGGTATTAATGTGAAATCTGACTTCAATCAAATATTGAAAAAATTAGCATTTATAAGGTAATAAAATGATCAGCCCCAATGAATTTAATTAGCCTTGTCAGAAAATCAAAAGTACTCCCAAGAGCTACTAGTTTAAGTAATATTTATGTAAACAGTTGTAAACATAAAGTTCAAACAGAAAACTTGATAAATTACTCTCTCATTACAACTTAACTATGAGTAACAATGGCATTATGATCACAAATTGTCCTCATTCATAGTGTCCACTTACATACGAAGTTGGTTACAACTGTCTAAGTTTGTAATCAGTATCCACAATATTGGCTATAAGTGACACACATTTGTGGATTTCAGATATTTAAAATTAACCTAGAAGGCAATGCAGTAAAGAAAAGATATTTAGGGGCGGAAAAAAGAAAAATGCTACAAGTGAATATATGATTAATTTACCTGAGGAAAATGTTGTTAATTTGTTTTCTGATGAATGCTCTTAATCCAAGGAATTTCCCATAAATTCGGTGTAGAACGGTCTTCAGGAAGTCACGTTCTCTGGGATCTTCACTATCAAAAAGCTCCAGGAGCTTTAAAAAAAATCTGAGAAATTACTTTTAAAAAATAATCGAGCTAAAACTTCACTTTATTTTAACTTTGATATGAAGACTATCCATGAAATCTTTAAAAATCTGCTGACGGGTTTGGCCTTATCTACATAAATGAAGTCAGACAGCCTGGGGAGTATTTCTTTTCAGTAACTTCAGTTTCTTTTAAAATGACAATAAATAATAGTACAAACATGTCAAAAACAGGATTTTTTTTTCTTTGCCTTCCCACTGATTTTAGAATTTCATCCAACTTTTGAGACTAACCATAGCTTACAGTTTTTAGAGTGTTAAAATGTAAGAGCTGTTTAATGCTTTTTGACCGTTAAAATCTTAGCTTTTAGATTGCAAGTTATGAAATAAATGAAGTCTTACAAACATGTATGTGTAAATATACATAGTTTACTAGAACTGTCATAGAATTTTATGGTCTGAACTTTGGTACTGAGAGTTACACTAGGCCAGGTATAGTGGTGCACACCTGTAATTCCAACACTCGGGAAGCTGAGGCAGGAGGATCGTTGTGAATTCCAGGCCAGCCTGGGCTATACAATGAGTCCAAGGCCAGCCTGAACTAGGTTTTCTCCTGTTCTAAGTTTTAAAACTTACAACCTACCAAGTCATTTTAAAATATAATGGTAATACACTGAGGATTCTCATACATAAGCTACTAGAAGAATACCCTAAGAAGACCTCAGAGAAGTAACCTATGAAAGCACAGTCATATCAATTGCCAAAAGCAAGTTATTGGGCCTTAGCATCACAGAAAATTCAGGAATTTGAAACAGAAGGTAGAAAATTAATCCAGCTCTCCTAGCTTTTTTGCTTCCTTCAAATCCACAGAAAAATCCAGTAATCTAAGCACTCAAGCTCCAGACTGAGAAACACTGAAGATCCCAGTCAACCTGCTATTATCTGAAATACAATTTAATATGGCACCACTGGAGTTCCTTGATATATCCCACACAAGAACTACAGAAGGAAATGGGCATTCATTTGCAATTGCCTAAACAACACATCTCCATTTACTCCGATTTTTACTTTTGATGGAAATGTACATTCTACTGCTAATGTACAGCTAATATTTCTGTAAAACTAAGGGTATTTTTCATTTATCAGTACTCCACAGCAACTAATCACAAGGTCAGTGATAGTCACACATGACCAAAAATGAGCTCTGAACATGTCAAACTCCTGTTTGTGGAATCTTACCACAGCAAGCACACGAAGGTGGTCTGAAAGGTGGAAAAGGTCCTTGAAATGATTTTAATACTGGCTTCAGCAACCAATTCTTAATGCGTCTTACAGACCAATAAGCACATCAAAAGAGAAAAAGGGATTTAGAAGGGTTTAGTCCGCTTCACAATTTTGTTTAGTGCCAGACAATTCCAAATATTTAAAAAGGGCTTTAAATTGCTGAAAAATTTTGTACGTAGGTTCTGAAAATAAGAGCTAATAACCAGTTTATGAAAAGAAAGAAGGTACTGCATGTTTTATCTCCGCCTCTTTTTCTTCTTAATGACCCTATTTTACAGGTGGGCTAGGAACGTAGGTGGTCAGGCCACCGAAGGTGACAGGGCAAAGGAACAGGGAAAGGTAACGGATGCTTATGACAGGAAAGGAGCCTGAAGTCCACAGTCTTGCAACTGACTTAATTTCTTTTTTTTTACCCCACTCTGTCAGTTCATATTCTAATATCTGAAATACCTGTCAAATTCAAGTTCGATTATTTAAAAATTTAAAACAAGCCTTGTCCTCAGATTGCATGGTTATACTAAGTTTTCTCAGTTAAGATAATGCAGAAAGACTAGCTATTCTGGTCTTTATGGGAATTTAGCATTCAGTAAGATAATTCAATTTACTTCAGTAGAAGTTTACCCTCGATGAAAATAATTTTGTATTCTCAAAGCTATTTCGCACTTTCATACTACTTGTCCAGCAGGAATATGAAATGGTACCATGAGGACATAAACCATTTAAGTTTTGAAAGATTATTTTAATCACAAGTTAATAACTCATTGATAAGATGAATTTAAGAAAATTTAAGACATAAGAGTTCCTTACCTGTTGTACAAATTTCTGATCAATGTATCGCTTTGCAATACTAGGCTGGAAATCAGGACTCTCCAAAAATCTCAAGAAGAAATCATACACCAACTATGAGAGAAAGTCAAATAAAAGCTAAGATGATACCTATAAAATTCTACCCTAAATTATACTTTATGTAAAAAACTCACCTCCCATACCAAATTAGTAGGAAGAATTCTGATTTCACTACAAAATATATTGGGAGTTGGCAATAGTTTTTAAAAATACAATAAAAAACTACATATTCACAGTTTGGTCTCCTAAGCCACTAACTTTGAGATTTATTTACTGCTTTGTACTACTCACTGGAAGATGTTGAATTACAGGATCTAGAAAATACTGACAATGCCTACAGAGTATATAACTTAAAAAGATTTTGCAGTCCATACTAGTCAACAACATGTTCCTTCCCCGATGGGGTATTACCTCGGTGTAATCTTTAGGGCCCCTTAAACACAAGATAAGGAGTAAGAAGGGGCAGCGTGTCAACAACAATTTAAAAAGAAAAGAAAAATGTCAAGTCTTTCAATAGAACTACAGTGGAAAGAATTTAACCTGAAAGCAGCATACCCTATCCACACTTGGAAATAAGCCAAATTATATAAGCAGAGGGCTGAGGCAGTGATGTTTTGCACGACAGGAGATGAGCTGGAGTGTGAGCAGCCCTTCTGCTTAACAAGTGCCAAGCAACCTAAAAGTGACTGCAGAGTGAACGCCTGCCACCGCAAATCAGAGTTAAAAGCGATGTTCGGTACTCTGCCACCATCACAGTTACTTTCAAGAAAAAGTAGTTTCTTTTCTTTTTAAATGTACCCTAATAGCTACGAAAGGCAGATTAGCCCAAAATACATCTTCTTTTATTAGTTACTGAACAGCATGTCAGCTTAGCATCCTAAAGATAAAAAAGGAAGACTAGACCCCCAAAGTAAAAACAGTCACTGAAGAAACACTTTAGGGAGTCAGGCCAGAGAAGGGAAGAAAAGACAAAGAAAAAAAATACATTACATTCAGACCTCATAGCATACAAAGGATTACAGCCCCGAGCTCCACCATTTACCACAAAACAACAAAGTTATATTACGATGAATTAATAATATTCTGTGGCTAATAAATATTCTGTGGCTATATTTCTGTAAATATAGTTTTGTTTGATACACTTTTGCCTAGCTATGCAAAGGGAACAACGGTGAGCTGGCCTATTATTACCTATGTTTGTTGTACATTAAAAATATAACAAAGTAAATGTCAATTATGTTTTTCAATTGTGGATAATTTTCATATTGACCAACAATATGGATGATTTTGCTCTGGGACACAAATATGCAAAAGGGTCTAAAAAACCTAGCCCGGCATGCCCTGAGGAGCTGGCAGCCTTACACGGACTGCAGTGTAGCTTTTCTAACAGCACCAGTTATTCAGTGCCTACTTTCAGGTCCAGTACTGGGATACACACAGAACACTGCACTGCTCGAACTTACTACTCCTCCCATTTACTAGTCAGGGAGGTTAGGCAGAACTAAAGACACAAAATGTACACACAAAAACTATGCGGCACAGACTATGCATGCAGGAGACACTAAGCAAAGGGCTACATCCCTGCGCAGTAAGCCAACAAGAAAAGCTTGGAGTTAGCCCTGCCACTCGTGCCCCGCCTTCAGTTCAGTTCTGGACAAGCCAAGAAGAGGACGGCCTTCTGGAGAAGGAGACGTAGGTCTTGAGACGAAGATGGTGCAAGGCACAGCTTGGTGCTCAGTATCTCGATTCAGAGGGAGGTAAGATTCCATGGTAAGGTGCGGTCAGGTTAAGATTCTCTGCCAAGTGTGGCGTGCTTTAGCCTATGCTCAGAAGAGCGGCATCAGAAATACAGGGCACGAGATTTAACAGTTTCATCCTTTGGGGGACCTAACATGACATCAAGTTCCAAATCAGACCACATACACAGTGGAAAGGCTGTGTCACCCACAAACACCACATAGGATTTCTTAATAGTTTTCATCTACATCTTTACCTGGCAGAGTGAGCATTAAGCGTCTAGTAAGATTGTCAGCAAAATGCTGCCAGGTAGCCAGCTCCGTGCCACTACTGAAGTACGTGCTGAATGGTCACGCCAAACAGAGGTGGAAGAGACACTAGTGACCTACAGAGCTGAGTCTGAAAATGGCACGAGACTGTGTTTCTATAGAACAGAACTCTGCCCCCAGTGTCCCCCTCTCTTAAACCCTTCTCCTGCATTACTGTTCCTTACTGCTGTTACTGTTACACTCCGACTTAGGATGTACTTACTTATTTATTACTACAAAAGTGTACACTGTAAAGTATGCAATGCTTTACTAGGATGTAAAGGGTTTTGCTTAGTCCAGTACTTTACCCTCAGTGATTAGAAGGCCTGGCACAGAATAGATGCTGAATAAATATTTACTGAATAAATGAAAATAAACTCATTCTGTGTAGTTACTGAAGTTCCTCTACACTCTTCTACATAAAGAAATACTTTGCTCCAAAAATCTAAAAAATAGTGTTGCAAAGAATAACAGACACTTCAGCAATGGAATCACTTCCCCAGTAACAGACCCTGGAGAGGATAGCTAGCTAAATATCTCAGGGAATGGAAGGTAACCTTACTGTGTTACTCAGAATTGACCGTAACTTTCCTAAAGCAGTCAAAATAAAAACGTGCAATTCTGCTCTTCATCATGATAAAGACCTTAGAGAAGGTAAAATAGAAAACAGCATGTGTCTATTTTCAGTATTTGAAATAAGACTTGTTAAGGTTTGTGTCTGGATGTCCCCAAAAAGCTTTATGCAGACATGGGATGGGTTTCTAGAGTTTGATTGATCCATGGTCCAATACTGGGATTAGGGATGTGAGTGCTACACCCATCCTGGGGCGGGTAGTTTGCATGCAGTGTACGGGACAGAAAGAGTAGTCTCTCTCTCTCTGCTCTTCCCCCCTTTGTTCTTGTTGCTTTTGCTGTTTTCTGCCACCATAAATGGTTGCCCTCTGCCATGTGCCACTCTGCCTTGGAGCCAGCTGAGTATGGACTGAAACCTCCATAGGGGCTGAGGATTTAGCTCAGTGGCACAGTGCCTGCCTGGCAAGCGCAAGGTCGTGAGTTCAATCCCCGGTACCAGAAAAAAAAAAAAAAAAAAAAAACCTCCACAAACTATGAGCTAAACAAACCTTTTCTTCCTTAATTCTGGGTGTCAGGTATTTTGTCTCAGCAATGAGAGAAAAGTATCTAAGACAAGACCTATACAAAAAACTAAAGCAAACAGAAAATGTTTGACCTACACAAGAAAAAAACTTAGAAGCAGTTTTAATTATCTACAAGTATACAAAAGACCATTTTCAAGGAGCATGGTGACCATGTGTTTATCAACCGCTATGAAGATATTAGGAAGAAAGTAATAAAGGAGTTTTGTTTTTTTTTTGAGTAGAGGTTACTGGAGGTTGAACCCAGGGCCTTCACACTGAGGTGCATCCCTAACCCTTTCCTAACCCTTTTCATTTTGAGGCTAGGTTTGAACTTGCAACCCTCCTGCTTCTGTCACTCAGAGTCTGGATTACAGGAGTGGACCACCATAGCTGGCTGTGTAAAGGAATTTTAAAAATTGATTTAATATATGAAAAAATTCATGTAAGAATTAACCTACACAGAATTATGTGAGATACATTAAGTATGCACATAATTGTCTGGGACACCTATCAAAGTATTACTTCTCTAAGATCTGCTTTTTTTCTCTGTATTACTTGTAAAAATAGAACAGATTCTACATGAATCATGAATAGTATAAATATGGTCAGCCCAGGTTTTTTTCTGCTCTGTTCTATCTTTTTAGTTCTTAAGATGCCAGACGTGGTGGCATACATATATAATCCAGTTACTCGGGAGGCTAAGGCAGGAGGACAGTGTGAGCCAAGGACTTAAAAGACCAGCCTAGACAACCTAGAGACCCTGTCTCAAATATACAACAAAAACAAACACACATACACAAAGAACTAAAAAGACAGCTAATAATAAATATTCACAATGTAAAAGTCAAAGTAATAAAAATGTTTCTCAACTTTATATAAAAAAATAACCTTTTTATTTAAGTGCCAATGTTAGTCATCAGGCTATGATCCCTATCACTTTCTCAGCATATGCAAATATTTAAAAATATAGTATCTGGCCAAGAGCTGTTCAAATGTGAAGTTGTATACTGTAAAATATGTACGTTACTAGTCTAAATTTTCACTGTAGGGAACACAGAGAAGAGCCTTCTGTTCCCTGAAGGACAGATTATTTATAAAAAGGTGTAATTCAAGGTCCGTGTCGGTGCACCACATAACTACGTTTCTGCGGGGTGAGTCTGCTGCACTGCCCAGACTGGCTAGTATGCTTGAGCGTGAACTGAGATCAGCACGGGCGGTGCAGTGCGATCCTGTCCTAGCACCACCGGCCTCTGGGTAACGGGGACTAGAAGTACATACGACTGCACCTGGTTTCACAAAGTTAAATCTTAATTATCTGTGCCGCTAAAGTCATTAATAAGAGGAAGTGAAAAGCCTATGCAGTCTGGAATCTGTATTTAAGCTGAAACCCTCCTAATTACCTAAAAATAAGTGTAAGAAAATTACTATATTTTTGGTCAGCAAACAGAAAACAATAATAATGCTTACAGAAGAAAAGATAATAATTTAAAACTGTTGTACATTAATAATTACCGAGTAGTACTACATTCAGTAAATTAAAAGATATAACCTACCCCCTGATAGTGCAAAAATCTTTTTTTGTTCCCTTTCTGTCTTCATTCCACTGCTCATTAGTATATCTAGTATAGTATGAAAAGATGTAAAAGAAGAAACTAGCATTTTTAGAAAATTCATGAGAAGGATCAAAGAAATAACGGTTTGGAAAGTTCTGAGATTCCTTGTGATTATTTCCCCTCATTAACAGCTAAACTTAATGTTTATTTTTCTGACATACCAAATTAATTTTTAGCATAGGAATTTGATAAGCTAAATAGAAAATGTAAACTTTTAGTACAAAAATAAAAAAAATCCAGGCAAACTGATTCAAGCACAT